TTTATCTTTTTAAAATAATTTCTATCATTAATTTTTACACAATTCTGTCATTTTAATTATTTTTTCTCATACAATTTTAATTATCGTTTTTATTAAAATTAAAAACAAATTATTTTTATATTTTTACGCCGATCATTTTTTCACTCTGTGCCTGTTGTTGCTATTGGTTGGCCGGCCTGCAGTCGGAGATTCATCTTCAGGTGGGCTGGTTAAAGTCTAAGTCGAGGGGCAGACTCTCGTCTCAGGAAATACCTACCCGACCGCGTTTTATACGGGGTCTATGGGGAAGTTTTAGCTGAGCCTACGGGCCCGGGAACCCCACATTAAATTCGGCCTTGTGCCACATCTGCCCGCGTGGGGCGGTTGGTAGATATTATTGTCTATTGCTGCTATTGAAACCCCACAACAAAATTCATATCGAAAGCAATCTTTATTTTCCTTATTTAAACAAATTTTTCGAGCATAAACAAAAAAACAAAACTGAAATCTTTTAAAAAAAAAAAAAAAAAGTTTACAAAACAGTGGAATTGAAATATCAGATAAAAATTAAGATTTTTTTTTTTTTTGATTTTAAGTCGAAAATAATCTGTGAAACCCGTTTAGAAAGAAAGACATGACTAAAAAAAGTAATGTTTTCGTTTGTTGATGAAATTATATATGTGGAGGAAGTGGGGGGGGGAGATAAAAACGTGATCGCCGAAAGGAAACACTGGACTTTCTCTAGTTTAAAACGCGTTACACGTAATTTTCCCACTTTGTCATTCATTTGTTTTTCTGTCCTGATATATAAAAAATTATTTTTTTCTTACAAAACGCATTTTGAGCGTACCCACGTGCACACGGTGTATTAGTAAAAAACATTACCCATCATTTTATGCTCACTTTTCAGCCAATTGCCAATACCACGATTGTTCATAATGTATTCACTTGGCAGTATTGCTAACTAAAACCTTCCAAAACCATATATAAAGAAAAGAGTTGTAAAAATCCTAATTTCATTGTAAACATTTCTAAAACATTCATACTGTCTGTCATTGTTTGTAAATATTTTTTTAAACTTTGAAAAAATGTATAATTGTGGGGAAATAATTAAGTGAAAAATTAAATAACTTTGTAGTCAAATACATCATGACAACTTGTTTTTTGAGGTTTCGTAACTTTTATTTATATTCCCTTTATTATATTTTTTTTAATGTGATTCGTGAGACCGAAACGGTGAATAAGAAAAACATTCCTTTTTATTTTATTACCAGGATTATACCAGAAAACAACGACTTCCTGGACACATTGCACTAATAATAATAAAAAAAATTTTTTAAATGCGTTATGTGTGCATGCGCGTGTAAATTGTTGGGTAGCATGAGTTTTTTTTATTATTATTGTAAATCTAATTTCTGACTTGTGATGCCTTCTTTATGCGGATGATGGTCCATGTTTGAAAATTAGAACTAACAAAGTTATTTCTACTTCTTTCTTTAATCTTCCACTTTGGAAAAAGAATACAAACGCAGAAAATAAACAGTTCATTTACACACACACATATACATACAGATACACACATTTTGTATAGGTGAAAATATTCTAGTTTGAACTGTAAAATTGGATAAACCTGAAGAGAATAAACTAAACTAAACTGAAACATGTCAAATGTTGGGTAAAGTTTTTTAACATACATACCCGAAAAAATTTTAAATGGTCTGTGTATCAAAAGGGCGGTTTTTCTTTTGATACCGCTATTTTCTACCCACTCCATAATTTTCATTGTGTAAAAAAACTTTAGATTAGAATTTTAATAAAACCCAAACATAAATAAACTAGATGTATTTTTTCTAATTTGTTTAATGTAATAATTATTATTTTATTTTAATTTCATGAGTTATTTTTTTATGTTTTTATTTATTTTAATAGGTTTAAGCATTTTGGGTTATTTTACTAATTTTTAAAAATTGTTTGCGGTCATATGTATGTTTGCTTGTGAAATGAGTATATCTTTTTGAAAAGGAGATATTTGAAAAATCGGGGATGCAGATTTACTTTCGGCTAGATTTGGTAATGACACTCTCAAAAACTTTCCATCTAAGTAACTCATTATTTTTCACCTATGAAGTAGCCCAGACCATCAAAGAACCTATCTGTGTCCTTGATATGATGGGATGTCAGGCAAACTTTCTTGACCTTTTCTTCACATTCTGCCCTGAAAGATGTTTTAAATCCTGGCCCAGGCAAGTCAGACCATTCCCTAGTCAGTGTTCAAGCCAAAGTCATCCCTTGATTTGCCATTCCATAGAACAATTTTTCACTACATAAAGGCAGACTGGGACAGCTTTAGATCCTTCTTCAAGCTTGCTGCCACTGAAACTGTTGCCCTCATCACAGAATGGATTCTTTCTGGAATGCAGATTTTTATACCCACCCCCCTCCTTCAAAAAAAAAAAAAATTCCAGCAAAAAAAAAACAAACAGCCAGCCCTGGTTTACCCCTGAATGTGCTGCTGTTATATCTCACAGTAACTACTATTTCAAAATCTATCACAAGGAGCAGTGTCATTTGACACCTGCAATCACTGCAAGAAAGTTCTGGAAAATGCAAAGTGTACCTATGCACAAGCAGTCCAGGCCAAGGTTGAAAACAAACAAATTGGGTACTGGGTGTCCTGGAAGATCTCCAACCAAAATATGAATAGAGGCAAAGCAGCTGTGCTCACCATTATAAATGGCCCCGAGGTCATATCTTCCTCGACAAATAAGCTCTTCACCTCAATCTTTGCCTCGAATTCATTGTTAGATAAAAAAGGCTATCCCTTTCCCACATCACATTGAGCACAATTTCAGTAATATTTTCATTACAGCCCAAGAAGACACAAGACATCAAAAACCTTGATACTAAGAAAGCCACTGACCCAGACAAAATCCCAGTGGTTGTCCTCAATAATATCAACCTGGTACTATCCTCAATCTTAGCATAGTTATTTAACTGCTGCTTGATGGAAAACTCCTTTCCAAGCATGTGAAATGTTTCAAATGTATGCTCAGTTTTCAAGAATGCAGTCAAACGTTCATCCCTCTCTCTGTGTAGAGCCATCAGTCTCCTCAGTATTATTAGCAAGCTTTTTAATGCTATAATCAACAAGAAGGTTGTTGAGCCTCTTGAGTGACAAGCAGTACGAGTTTTGCTCAGTTTGATCCACTGCTGATGTCCTAACTACCATTATTCACAGAATCAGTAAGGCACTAGACAACAAATACACCCTAAGGACTATAGCATTAGATATTTCAAAGGCCTTTGACAAGGTGTAGCATAAAGGATTGCTGCTCAAGCTCTCTAGCTGTGGAATCATTGAAAGAATCTTCTTAGTAATAAAGTCCTTCCTAACAGGTAGGACCCTGAAGGTAGCTGTGAACAGCTAGTCTTCCAAGGCCCTAGCAATCAACGCAGATATCACTTCTTAGACCAACCATCATTTTACTTTACATAAATGATCTACCTAAGAGTATACTCCAATCATATGCCAATGATACAATGATATATAGGTGCACCTCCAAAACTCCAAGAATGGTAGCTGATCTCTTGTTCAATCTAGCTCTAACAGCTCAGTGGAGGAAAAACAAGCTGGTTTACATTCACTGCCTCAAAAACCAAATTAGCTACATTCCATCATCACCAATCAGGCCCTGAACACTCACCAGTCATGATGAATAGATAGTCCCTCAGTGAGACCCCATGACTTGAGCAATTATTGGGCCTTAAACTCAACCCAGAACTCAAGTAGAACTTGTATATATGATCTGTCACTAAAGATGCAGGAAAAATGATCAGCTCCCTGTACCACTCCTGTAAGTACCTGACTCCTTGTGCTATCCTCTACCTTAACAAGAGCCAAATCGGGCCTACAATAAAGTACAGCTGTCATATTTGGGCAGGAGCTGCCCAGTTTTGACTTTTCAGTGTTGATAGAATCAAAAGGCATCTCCATGGCCTTGTGGGTTACAAATTATTTTCCACCCTGCAACACCTTTCTCACAGACAGTGGATAAAATTATTGATTTCTGAATTTGGTGACATAGTGGATGTAAGTTCAATCCTTGGATTGGGTAGTGTGTACCCCGTATTCAGTTCAGAATTCCCTGTAGGTTACCCAGATCGATATACACCTGAGGAAGGCCAGAGAGCAAAACAGTTGAATTGTTGTGATAAGAATAACCAAGATGAGGATAATAGTCCAATTATAAATAGTGTAAATAATGGTAACTTCTTATCCCAGAAATTCAGACATGAATTATGAAAAAAGTTTTTTAAATATCTGGTTGCATTACCCATTGCCAAATATATTTTGTTAAAAACAAAATTTTTAATAATAATCACTCAATTACCTCAATTCTTATACATCATACCAAAGTTTTCTTTTCATATGTTGAGTTCTTCAAGGTATTGAATACATAAGAGTATCAAAGACTTTTCTTGTATATTAAAATTTTTAAATTTAAAAATAAACTCCCTGGTCTTTTGAACAGGATTAGAGGTTTATCTCTTCTTTCCTGTTTAGGATTGGGTTTCTGGATCCTTCTAAAGTATTCTCATTCTCTTTCACTACCAGTAGCCCCATGTGTCTTAGTGGCATTATCTCCTTGCTTGGAAGGACTTGATAAAAAAATTCTTTTGCTTGTTTAAGTTCAATACCTACTAAATATTTAACAAAATGTTCTATTCACCATTGAATAATTCTTCTTTTATGTTGGTTTGTTTGGTTGATTTGTTTTTTTATCAACCTATTGCTGGTTATTTAAACCCGAAAAAATATTTTTATATTGTAAGATTAGGGGGAGATAATAATGATTTTTACTGATACAAGTTCTAATTAACCCATATCTGGAGGAGAAAAGGTGGATTCATACCTTTCCCAAGGGTATTTGCATAAGTGAACATAATGAACCTAACTGGAATTGGAACTCAGCTCTCTGATTTTTACATTCTGACCCGTTATCCATTACACCACATCGAAGCTTCCAGCACCTGTTATTTCCAAGTAGTCATCCATCTAGGTATTGACTAGGCTCAATATTGTTTAACTTTGGTGATCAGATGAGAACCAATGTTTCAACATGATATGGCCCTAAACCCTTCTTTTATGCATGATGACCTTTCAGGTCATGGCTTGCCATAACTTCCTGTCTTTTTTATATTTAAGTCACATCGGACTTTATCCTTGTTCTGCTATCCATTTAAACAGATTCATTAAGTTGGTTATTCACCAACATCTAAATTCTCTAATGAGAATCACAATTTTATAAAAGACATCAGTTTGCACTAGAAAGTACAAGAATTTTTTTTGCAACACACTAACATGTGTTGAAATCCTTACAATATTTAGTATCTGAATTTATCACTAACATTTTCTGTTGAGAATTACAAACTCTACATTTTGTTCAATTTCACAAACCCCTCAATGAAATTTGAATAAGCTGATTTGTTTGGAAAAATGCTTTGACAAAAACCCTACTTCACGGTTTAATAATTTCTTTAATTTAATTCAATTTTATAGGACTTCATGGTAAACAATATTTTATAAGAAAATTTCTTTTTTCCTTTTTAACAGCAAAGAATAAATTCTTTGAATTTCTTATTCTCAAGCATGCAACATACAACAGTCCATGCATAAATATTTCTTTCTGGAGCCAAATCCCAACTTTTTGAAGTGTTTGTGATTTATTTATGGTTTTTGCAAATACAGGGCAAACTGGAAACTACATTCTTTTATATAAAAACTTAAAAGACATGCAAAAATTAATACTGAATTTTTATTAAATAAGTACTTGTTATTTTAATCATTAAATTGTTTTTACAATAGTGGGAGTATTTTGTATGTTAAATAATAAAACTCTTAATTTTTCCAAAAGAATTAATGAAAATTTATTGTACAAAGCTACACACTGTAGTATAACCAACTGTACTTTGTACCCATTTACCTGTTTGCACTTCTCCCCAAAAATTTAGTTTTGATCAGTCAATGTATAGCTATTTTAGAGGGGATGATGGATGGATGGATTTAACAGAAGTCACAGAATTTTATATTTAGGTAGATAGATAATAAACTTATCCTCATCATCAGCTTTATTTTGTATCCAAGAATTTAATTTCTTCTCTTCTGATCGCTTCCTTTATGATGATGACTAAGTAGACCAATTCTTGCATAGACGAGTCAATAGCATTGACAGCTTAGTAATGTTGGTGGAAGACGAGATCGATTTTGTCATGCTTTTCTCTCTTGTTTGATTTTTTTTCCTTTTCTCTTCTGGTGGCTTTGAAGGTTTTGGTTTCAATGGTGATGGAACACTGCCAGTTTGTACAGTCTCAGGCTCATGTTTCAAACAGTTCAGGCTCAAGTCCAGTGGCTTTCAGTATTGTTTTGAGTTGGTTTATATATCTGTGAAGAAGGTAACCACACGGTCTTTTCCTTGAAGTAAGGTCACTGAATATGACTTGATGTAAAAATCTTGACTCTTTGATTCATGTGACATGTCCTGACCATTGAAGACAGTGTTTAATGATCAGTGATTTGATGCTTTGACTGCTGGTTTTATCCAAGACTTTGCTGTTGGTTACATAGTATTTCCATTTAATGTTCAAGGTAGAATGAAGTTTTTCTGGTGAAAGCATTCTAATTTTTGGATGTTGTAATAATATAGAGTCCAAGTTTCACAGCCATATAGCAAAGTTGAAATGATAACAGTATTATAAACACTATTTACATTGTTCAAACTATCATTCTCATCTTTGTTACCATATTTATCACAACGTTTTGGCGAACATGTCCGTCCACACTTCAGTGGGTATCAACAATTTACTGCTTATATTTTTTCCTTTTTATACATTCATAATTTTTATATATATATTGGTTCTTACGACGATTCCCCTACAAAGGGGGAGGCAAGTTTGAATTCTGCCAGAAGGTGCATTTTTCTTTAATTTCTCGAATATTCAGACCAGTAGATAAAAATAAAATACTGTCTGAAAAATAAAAGAATCATCTACTTTATAAAATTGGTTTAAAATTAAAATTTTATATTTTTAAATTAAAAATTTAAACCTTTTTTTATGCTTGGAAATGTGATCTGAAGAACCCGGAAAAAACACTTTCCTGTGGAAATAAAATATAATCAATGGACCCTTAAGGTTGTTGGTTTTTTAATTTTAATTGAATTACATATATTATATATATATATATATATATATATATATATATATATATATATATATATACTACATTTTTAGGGAAATATATAACAAAGTAAAAAAGCTTTCATGAAACATTTAGTCGTTTAGTATTTCATTAGACTAAAGTGATGTTTACATTTATCTGACTACATATGCGCATGAAGAGGGGACACTGAAAATTTAAAATTCAAAATTTTTTCTTTTTAAATATTTGATTTGGGCATATAGTCTAGTTGATTTTATAAGTTTCTTTTTGGGGTTTTTTTTTAACCACTTTTGTTATTAATT